GAAGAAACAATCAGAGAGCAAAGATATTTCGAAGGGACCAGGATGAAACAATAGATGGAACTGAAATGGAGCATGAAGAAACAATAAGAGAGCAAAGATATTAAAGGGACCAGGATGAAACAATAGATGAAACTGAAATGGAGCATGAAGAAACAATAAGAGAGCAAAGATATTGAAGGGACCAGGATGAAACAATAGATGGAACTGAAATGGAGCATGAAGAAACAATAAGAGAGCAAAGATATAGAAGGGACCAGGATGAAACAATAGATGGAACTGAAATGGAGCATGAAGAAACAATAAGAGAGCAAAGATATTGAAGGCACCAGGATGAAACAATAGATGGAACTGAAATGGAGCATGAAGAAACAATCAGAGAGCAAAGATATTGAAGGGACCAGGATGAAACAATAGATGGAACTGAAATGGGGCATGAAGAAACAATAAGAGAGCAAAGATATTGAAGGGACCAGGATGAAACAATAGATGGAACTGAAATGGGGCATGAAGAAACAATAAGAGAGCAAAGATATTGAAGGGATCAGGATGAAACAATGGATGGAACTGAAATGGGGCATGAAGAAACAATCAGAGAGCAAAGATATTGAAGGGACCAGGATGAAACAATAGATGGAACTGAAATGGAGCATGAAGAAACAATAAGAGAGCAAAGATATTGAAGGGATCAGGATGAAACAATAGATGGAACTGAAATGGAGCATGAAGAAACAATCAGAGAGCAAAGATATTTCGAAGGGACCAGGATGAAACAATAGATGGAACTGAAATGGGGCATGAAGAAACAATCAGAGAGCAAAGATATTGAAGGGACCAGGATGAAACAATAGATGGAACTGAAATGGGGCATGAAGAAACAATAAGAGAGCAAAGATATAGAAGGGACCAGGATGAAACAATAGATGGAACTGAAATGGGGCATGAAGAAACAATAAGAGAGCAAAGATATTGAAGGCACCAGGATGAAACAACAGATGGAACTGAAATGGAGCATGAAGAAACAATCAGAGAGCAAAGATATTGAAGGGACCAGGATGAAACAATAGATGGAACTGAAATGGGGCATGAAGAAACAATCAGAGAGCAAAGATATTGAAGGGACCAGGATGAAACAATAGATGGAACTGAAATGGGGCTTGAAGAAACAATAAGAGAGCAAAGATATTAAAGGCACCAGGATGACACAATAGATGGAACTGAAATGGGTCATGAAGAAACAATAAGAGCGCAAAGATATTGAAGGGACCAGGATGAAACAATAGATGGAACTGAAATGGGGCATGAAGAAACAATCAGAGAGCAAAGATATAGAAAGGACCAGGATGAAAAAATAGATGGAACTGAAATGGGGCATGAAGAAACAATAAGAGAGCAAAGATATAGAAGGGACCAGGATGAAACAATAGATGGAACTGAAATTGGGCATGAAGAAACAATAAGAGAGCAAATATATTGAAGGGACCAGGATGAAACAATAGATGGAACTGAAATGGGGCATGAAGAAACAATAAGAGAGCAAAGATATAGAAGGGACCAGGATGAAACAATAGATGGAACTGAAATGGAGCATGAAGAAACAATAAGAGAGCAAAGATATTGAAGGCACCAGGATGAAACAATAGATGGAACTGAAATGGAGCATGAAGAAACAATCAGAGAGCAAAGATATTGAAGGGACCAGGATGAAACAATAGATGGAACTGAAATGGGGCATGAAGAAACAATAAGAGAGCAAAGATATTGAAGGGACCAGGATGAAACAATAGATGGAACTGAAATGGGGCATGAAGAAACAATAAGAGAGCAAAGATATTGAAGGGACCAGGATGAAACAATAGATGGAACTGAAATGGGGCATGAAGAAACAATCAGAGAGCAAAGATATTGAAGGCACCAGGATGAAACAATAGATGGAACTGAAATGGAGGATGAAGAAACAATAAGAGAGCAAAGATATTGAAGGGACCAGGATGAAACAATGGATGGAACTGAAATGGGGCATGAAGAAACAATCAGAGAGCAAAGATATAGAAAGGACCAGGATGAAAAAATAGATGGAACTGAAATGGGGCATGAAGAAACAATAAGAGAGCAAAGATATTGAAGGGACCAGGATGAAACAATAGATGGAAGTGAAATGGGGCATGAAGAAACAATCAGAGAGCAAAGATATTGAAGGGACCAGGATGAAACAATAGATGGAACTGAAATGGGGCATGAAGAAACAATAAGAGAGCAAAGATATTGAAGGGACCAGGATGAAACAATAGATGGAACTGAAATGGAGCATGAAGAAACAATAAGAGAGCAAAGATATTGAAGGGACCAGGATGAAACAATAGATTGAAGTGAAATGGAGCATGAAGAAACAATAAGAGAGCAAAGATATTGAAGGGACCAGGATGAAACAATGGATGGAACTGAAATGGGGCATGAAGAAACAATCAGAGAGCAAAGATATAGAAGGGACCAGGATGAAACAATAGATGGAACTGAAATGGAGCATGAAGAAACAATCAGAGAGCAAAGATATTGAAGGGACCAGGATGAAACAATGGATGGAACTGAAATGGGGCATGAAGAAACAATCAGAGAGCAAAGATATAGAAAGGACCAGGATGAAAAAATAGATGGAACTGAAATGGGGCATGAAGAAACAATAAGAGAGCAAAGATATTAAAGGGACCAGGATGAAACAATAGATGGAACTGAAATGGGGCATGAAGAAACAGATGGAGAGCAAAGATAATCCAAATGAAGAAATGTTAGAACAATTTGTTATGTGCTTCCTAAAATCTATTTAAAAGCTGAGGTACAGTTCAACCCTTGTTTCTTGTTGATTGTTAAAAGTTATCACAAGTCCAAATTAGTAATGAAACATTAATTTGTTTAATACTTAATAGTGTATAGAGAAAATTATCTTTCCTGTAACATGAAGATATCAGTGTTCTTACTGCAAGCATACAGACATCAGGTAAATTAGCTATATTGAATTTGATTTTGAATTTAAATGAACGATTTATAACCAGAATGAACAGTGTATAAATTGTTATTCTAGTAACAATCTTTTTGACCTCAATGTAATCTTACTTGCACATGAGTACATGCACATGAATTTCATTCAAGATGTTCCCATGGAAATTGGAAGTGTGATGCTTGAACAAAACATCTGATTCTTTCAGCATGTTTAAACATAGATTATGAAAGTGTCTTGCCTGTAACAAATTCATGTCCACCCTGTAACAGAAAACCATAAATCAAATCTCTTATACAAGTGTTTCAGTTTTGTAAATTATTTCTGTTGAGATTCCCTTGCTTTGTTAAAACAAGTTTTCATACTGCATAAATGGACAAGAGATTGGCAAGAAAGTTTCAGATTCAAAATGTCTTTCTTAAAACTGGGCTGTGTCGATCCTGTAACAAAGCAACAAGGATCTGATGTTTTAGCTTATGAAACATACCAACAGATACTGGTTCATATTGATTTTGTGTGGTTTGTTATATTGTTATATATTTTCTGCACATTTAAAACAGTAGACAGCAATAAAAAGTAATAACTCCTGCAAAGTTTTGATTCTGAATATACTGGCCATCTTTCTTTCCTGTAAGCATGTATGTCCATCCCATAACCTATTGGAGAAGTGTAGAACTGTTAAAATAGCAGATGTATGATACATTCTTTGATACATGTATTCAGGCTTAAAAAACTAAAATAATTTCTGTTTCAGTTATTGTCTCTAGTGTTTGCCAAAAGTGTTGTTACTGTTTGCACATCATTGCAGTCAACAATATCTCATTCATAAATGCAATAATGGCAGTATATTACAATACAGACCTAAGTATCAGAAAATATTGCAATACAAAATTCATGCACTACACAGTATTGATTTAAACTAATGAAAAACTTTTTATCACAAGAAAAACTTATTACTCTAGGTTTCATCTAAACAGATCAGTATTACCTCCAAAGGTCAGTGTCACTAAAAGACATATTTTAAAACATGGAACAATTGACAACCTCCATGGTCTGTTGGATAGAGTGTCGGCCTGGAGACGTCAATGGATCGTACTTGTTGTTAGCCTACCTGGCCTCTGACATTAAGGGGATACAAGAAGGAATGGTTGGCTAGGAGTCAGTAGTCTGTGTCTGAGTAGGGTATCTTAGTGGGCTAGCATTATAAACCAGACTAGTACAAGCAGCCACACACATGTGCATGCACATCTCTAAAATAAGTGCAATCATCTTGAACGTGATATTAAACCCTATTTCACCTCATCTTACCTAAAACATGAATTAAGCTTAAGGAATATTTTCAGGAATAGGAAAAGTGTTGATGAATTATGTATGCCTATATCAAACCTTGTTATTTGTACAGATTATATCAAATGACAAGTCCATGTGCACTTTCAAGGTCATACATCCATTTAAGAAAAAAATGTAAGATAAGATAAAATAACACTTTATTTCCCCGAAGGGATATTATTTGTCTGTAAGTTAGCTGGAGGCATGGGGCTTTCTGGTTTGAAGTGTTTTATTCAACTCATTGCAATAGGCAAGTGGTTTAAGAAACCCAGTAAAACTATAGCTTAGCTAGAGGCATGGGGCTTTCTGGTTTGCCTACAGTAATATGCATGTTTTGGAAACTCAGAGTTACATTAAACCAGAAGAGCATGTTAGGTGGTGTGTATTTTGCATGTAATAGGCAAGTGTTTTCCAAACAAGGAAGTGACATCTGACCAGCTGGACTTCACATGGTATTCATTGAATGGAAAGGGATTTAGTTATAAGTAGACAGCAGGGATGGAGCTTCCAGGAAAGGATCATGTGGCTCAAAACAACCTTCTAGTTTTCAAAAATAGTGTCTTCCACTTTGTAAACTAAATTTTAAGTAAAGTCATCATGTTAACTTTCATATGTATGCATTTTGTCTATTTTCTCAGCCATCAACCTACATGTGTATGCAGTTTGTCTATTTTCTCAGCCATCAACCTCCATGAGAAGCAATCGACAATTCCTACATACAAGATGAATGCAAACCCCCGAGGTATGTGTCTCAGAAAAGTTAGTGAATGTAAACCTCAACATCTACAAGTGTGATAGGGCAGTTAGTGAATGTAAACCTCAACATCTACAAGTGTGATAGGAAAGTTAGTGAATGTCAACCTCAACATCTACAAGTGTGATAGGGCAGTTAGTGAATGTCAACCTCAACATCTACATGTGTGATAGGGCAGTTAGTGAATGTCAACCTCAACATCTACACGTGTGATAGGGCAGTTAGTGAATGTAAACCTCAACATCTACAAGTGTGATAGGGCAGTTAGTGAATGTCAACCTCAACATCTACAAGTGTGATAGGGCAGTTAGTGAATGTCAACCTCAACATCTACAAGTGTGATAGGGCAGTTAGTGAATGTCAACCTCAACATCTACACGTGTGATGGGGCAGTTAGTATATGTAAACCTCAACATCTACAAGTGTGATAGGGCAGTTAGTGAATGTAAACCTCAACATCTACAAGTGTGATAGGGCAGTTAGTGAATGTAAACCTCAACATCTACAAGTGTGATGGGACAGTTAGTGTATGTAAACCTTATGATCTACAAGTGTGATGGGACAGTTAGTGTATGTAAACTTTATGATCTACACTTGTGATGGGGCAGTTAGTGTATGTAAACCTTATGATCTACAAGTGTGATGGGGCAGTTAGTGTATGTAAACCTTATGATCTACACTTGTGATAGGGCAGTTAGTGTATGTAAACCTTATGATCTACAAGTGTGATAGGGCAGTTAGTGTATGTAAACCTTATGATCTACACTTGTGATAGGGCAGTTAGTGTATGCAAACCTCATGATCTTAACTTGTAATGGGGCACTTAGTGTATGTAAACCTTGTGATCTACACTTGTGATAGGGCAGTTTGTGAATGTAAACCTCAACATCTACAAGTGTGATAGGGCAGTTAGTGTATGTAAACCTTATGATCTACAAGTGTGAAAGGGCAGTTAGTGTATGTAAACCTTATGATCTACACTTGTGATAGGGCAGTTAGTGTATGTAAACCTTATGATCTACACTTGTGATAGGGCAGTTAGTGTATGTAAACCTTATGATCTACAAGTGTGATGGGACAGTTAGTGTATGTAAACCTTATGATCTACACTTGTGATAGGGCAGTTAGTATATGTAAACCTTATGATCTACAAGTGTGATAGGGCAGTTAGTGTATGTAAACCTTATGATCTTCACTTGTGATAGGGGAGTTAGTGTATGTAAACCTTATGATCTACAAGTGTGATGGGGCAGTTAGTGTATGTAAACCTTATGATCTACAAGTGTGATAGGGCAGTTAGTGTATGTAAACCTCATGATCTACACTTGTGATGGGCCAGTTAGTATATGTAAACCTTATGATCTACACTTGTGATGGGGCAGTTAGTGTATGTAAACCTTATGATCTACAAGTGTAATGGGGCAGTTAGTGTATGTAAACCTTATGATCTACAAGTGTGATAGGGCAGTAAGTGTATGTAAACCTTATGATCTACAAGTGTGATAGGGCAGTTAGTGTATGTAAACCTTATGATCTACACTTGTGATGGGGCAGTTAGTGTATGTAAACCTTATGATCTACACTTGTGATAGGGCAGTTAGTGTATGCAAACCTTATGATCTACACTTGTGATGGGGCAGTTAGTGTATGTAAACCTTATGATCTACAAGTGTGATGGGGCAGTTAGTGTATGTAAACCTCAAGATCTACACTTGTGATAGGGCAGTTAGTGTATGTAAACCTTATGATCTTCACTTGTGATAAGGGAGTTAGTGTATGTAAACCTTATGATCTACAAGTGTGATGGGGCAGTTAGTGTATGTAAACCTTATGATCTACAAGTGTGATAGGGCAGTTAGTGTATGTAAACCTCATGATCTACACTTGTGATGGGGCAGTTAGTATATGTAAACCTTATGATCTAAACTTGTGATGGGGCAGTTAGTGTATGTAAACCTTATGATCTACAAGTGTGATGGGGCAGTTAGTGTATGTAAACCTTATGATCTACAAGTGTGATGGGGCAGTTAGTGTATGTAAACCTCAAGATCTACACTTGTGATAGGGCAGTTAGTGTATGTAAACCTCATGATCTACACTTGTGATGGGGCAGTTAGTGTATGTAAACCTTATGATCTACAAGTGTGATGGGACAGTTAGTGTATGTAAACCTTATGATCTACAAGTTTGATAGGGCAGTTAGTGTATGTAAACCTCAACATCTACAAGTGTGATGGGGCAGTAAGTGTATGTAAACCTTATGATCTACAAGTGTGATAGGGCAGTTAGTGTATGTAAACCTCATGATCTACACTTGTGATGGGGCAGTTAGTGTATGTAAACCTTATGATCTACAAGTGTGATGGGGCAGTTAGTGTATGTAAACCTTATGATCTACAAGTGTGATGGGGCAGTTAGTGTATGTAAACCTCAAGATCTACACTTGTGATAGGGCAGTTAGTGTATGTAAACCTTATGATCTACACTTGTGATGGGGCAGTTAGTGTATGCAAACCTTATGATCTACACTTGTGATAGGGCAGTAAGTGTATGTAAACCTTATGATCTACAAGTGTGATAGGGCAGTTAGTGTATGTAAACCTTATGATCTACACTTGTGATAGGGCAGTTAGTGTATGTAAACCTTATGATCTACACTTGTGATGGGGCAGTTAGTGTATGTCAACCTTATGATCTACACTTGTGATGGAGCAGTAAGTGTATGCAAACCTTATGATCTGCACTTGTGATAGGGCAGTTAGTGTATGTAAACCTCATGATCTACACTTGTGATAGGGCAGTTAGTGTATGTAAACCTTATGATCTACAAGTGTGATAGGGCAGTTAGTGTATGTAAACCTTATGATCTACAAGTGTGATAGGGCAGTTAGTGTATGTAAACCTTATGATCTACAAGTGTGATGGGACAGTTAGTGTATGTAAACCTTATGATCTACACTTGTGATAGGGCAGTTAGTATATGTAAACCTTATGATTTACACTTGTGATGGGGCAGTTAGTGTATGTAAACCTTATGATCTACACTTGTGATGGGCCAGTTATTGTATGCAAACCTTATGATCTACACTTGTGATGGGGCAGTTAGTGTATGTAAACCTCATGATCTACACTTGTGATAGGGCAGTTGGTGTATGTGAACCTTATGATCTACAAGTGTGATAGGGCAGTTAGTGTATGTAAACCTTATGATCTACACTTGTGATAGGGCAGTTAGTGTATGTAAACCTCATGATCTACACTTGTGATGGGGCAGTTAGTGTATGTAAACCTCATGATCTACACTTGTGATAGGGCAGTTAGTGTATGTAAACCTCATGATCTACACTTGTGATAGGGCAGTTAGTGTATGTAAACCTTATGATCTACAAGTGTGATAGGGCAGTTAGTGTATGTAAACCTTATGATCTACAAGTGTGATGGGGCAGTTAGTGTATATAAACCTTATGATCCAATGGTGTGATGGGGCAGTTAGTGTATGTAAACCTTATGATCTACAAGTGTGATGGGGCAGTTAGTGTATGTAAACCTTATGATCTACAAGTGTGATAGGGCAGTTAGTGTATGTAAACCTTATGATCTACACTTGTGATAGGGCAGTTAGTATATGTAAACCTTATGATTTACACTTGTGATGGGGCACTTAGTGTATGTAAACCTTATGATCTACACTTGTGATGGGCAGTTAGTATATGTAAACCTTATGATCTACACTTGTGATGGGGCAGTTAGTGTATGTAAACCTTATGATCCACAAGTGTGATGGGGCAGTTAGTGTATTCTGAACCTTATGATCTACAAGTGTGATGGGGCAGTAAGTGTATGTAAACCTTATGATCTACAAGTGTGATAGGGCAGTTAGTGTATGTAAACCTTATGATCTACACTTGTGATAGGGCAGTTAGTGTATGTAAACCTTATGATCTACAAGTGTGATAGGGCAGTTAGTGTATGTAAACCTTATGATCTACACTTGTGATAGGGCAGTTAGTGTATGTAAACCTTATGATCTACAAGTGTGATAGGGCAGTTAGTGTATGTAAACCTTATGATCTACAAGTATGATAGGGCAGTTAGTGTATGTAAACCTTATGATCTACAATTGTGATGGGACAGTTAGTGTATGTAAACCTTATGATCTACACTTGTGATAGGGCAGTTAGTATATGTAAACCTTATGATCTACACTTGTGATGGGGCAGTTAGTGTATGTAAACCTTATGATCCACAAGTGTGATGGGGCAGTTAGTGTATTCTGAACCTTATGATCTACAAGTGTGATAGGGCAGTTAGTGTATGTAAACCTTATGATCCACAAGTGTGATAGGGCAGTTAGTGTATGCAAACCTCATGATCTTCACTTGTAATGGGGCACTTAGTGTATGTAAACCTCAACATCAACACTTGTGATAGGGCAGTTAGTGTATGTAAACCTTATGATCTACAAGTGTGATGGGGCAGTTAGTGTATATAAACCTTATGATCTACAAGCGTGATAGGACAGTTAGTGTATGTAAACCTTATGATCTACAAGTGTGATAGGGCAGTTAGTGTATGTAAACCTTTTTATGTACAAGTGTGATAGGGCAGTTAGTGTATGTAAACCTTATGATCTACACTTGTGATAGGGCAGTTAGTGTATGTAAACCTTATGAACTACACTTGTGATAGGGCTGTTAGTGTATGTAAACCTTTTGAACTACACTTGTGATAGGGCTGTTAGTGTATGTAAACCTTATGATCTACAAGTGTGAAAGGGCAGTTAGTGTATGTAAACCTCATGATCTACAAGTGTGATAGGGCAGTAAGTGTATGTAAACCTTATGATCTACAAGTGTGATGGGTCAGTAAGTGTATGTAAACCTTATGATCTTCACTTGTAATGGGGCACTTAGTGTATGTAAACATCATGATCTACACTTGTGATAGGGCAGTTTGTGAATGTAAACCTAAAAAACTACAAGTGTGATAGGGCAGTTAGTTTATGTAAACCTCAACATCTACAAGTGTGATAGGGCAGTTAGTGTATGTAAACCTTATGATCTACAAGTGTGATGGGGCAGTTAGTGTATGTAAACCTTATGATCTACAAGCGTGATAGGACAGTTAGTGTATGTAAACCTTATGATCTACAAGTGTGATAGGGCAGTTAGTGTATGTAAACCTTATGATCTACAAGTGTGATAGGGCAGTTAGTGTATATAAAACTTATGATCTACCCTTGTGATAGGGCAGTAAGTGTATGTAAACCTTATGAACTACACTTGTGATAGGGCTGTTAGTGTATGTAAACCTTATGATCTACAAGTGTGAAAGGGCAGTTAGTGTATGTAAACCTCATGATCTACAAGTGTGATAGGGCAGTAAGTGTATGTAAACCTTATGATCTACACTTGTGATGGGGCAGTTAGTGTATGTAAACCTTATGATCTATACTTGTGATGGGGCAGTTAGTGTATGTAAACCTCATGATCTACACTTGTGATAGGGCAGTTAGTGTATGTAAACCTTATGATCTACAAGTGTGATAGGGCAGTTAGTGTATGTAAACCTTATGATCTACAAGTGTGATAGGGCAGTTAGTGTATGTAAACCTTATGATCCACAAGTGTAATAGGGCAGTTAGTGTATGTAAACCTTATGATCTACAAGTGTGATGGGGCAGTTAGTGTATGTAAACTTCATGATCTACAAGTGTGATGGGGCAGTTAGTGTATATAAACCTTATGATCCACAAGTGTGATGGGGCAGATAGTGTATGTAAACCTTATGATCTACAAGTGTGATAGGGCAGTTAGTGTATGTAAACCTTATGATCTACAAGTGTGATGGGGCAGTTAGTGTATGTACACCTTATGATCTACAAGTGTGATAGTGCAGCCCCTCTTTTGTGTTGTGCAGGAATTTGCGTGATCATCAACAATTCTCAGTTCTGGGCTGAAGATGAAGGCGCTCCGGCGTTGAATCCAAGGACCGGAAGTGACATTGATGCTGGTAGGAACAGTGCAGACATATTTTCAGCTTGATACATGTAATAGATCAGACACCAAAAAATAGATGGATAGCCCTCCCCAAAAGTTATCATAAATCAACAGCGCTATAGTCTAGCATTTAACTGATACACCCATAACACCCTGCTGTTAACTTTCCGGTGTCACTGCAGATGCACAGATATTCGCAACTGACCATTCCCGTAAACACATATGGGCGGCGATTCGGTCTAAAAATACAAAGTTCAAATAAAGGACAAAAGTACGCAATAATAATCAAATGTTACGAAAAAAGTATAAAATGTTACTTATTAAGGTCAAAATACAAAACAAACATATGCCGGTTAAATAATTCATATGAAAAGAAAGAACAATGTGTACTAAAGAACGTCAGAGCGCACAAAAGGACACTGAACTGCTAAAGGACAATGTTGACAATAAAGAACACCAGATGGTGCTGCAATTTGTAAAACATTCCAAGTATAATGATACCCTCGGTATATGATAACTGCATGCCGAGGTGCACAATGTGTCAACCTCAGACTATAAAATTAAGCATACATGTAATACGTTCACGTTCCTGTCGTGATGTAAATGTACATGTAACTGGAAATGTGAAACCAATGTGAAACAGAGACACTGCTAAGTGTTGTTTGAGGTTTTATTATGCTTAAAAAACCCAGCAAATATCCCCTCTTATTATCGTACACCGATATAAGTACTGTGCGACAATTTGTTTCATTTAAAAACTTTTCGGAAACTGTGAGTGAACAAAATGCTGCCTAATATCTGAACGACAAATATATCTATCAAATGGATTTGTATGCATATGTATAACATTATACATTCAATTTGATAAACAGGTTGCCATAAATGAGGTTGACACAGTGAGCAGTAACTTAACTCGGCATCATAACACCCTTGTGTTGCACTAAGCAAAAAATTAATGCCCTTTCCCGGTGATGATGCATAAATGCAACTGTATTTATCATCCAAAACTGGCTCCTGCAGAAGATATCGCTTTGGTGAGATCAAGCGATACATACATTGTAGATATCACTGCAATGAAATTGCATCACAATGCTTTGCAGACCATTGTTACCATGACGTCACAACCAAATGACATCACTAATGGCTCAGCTACTGAAGCTGTTAGCAGTACTTTTTACACTTAAGACACTGCTTATTACTGTCTATAAACTGAAAAAGTTGGAAGAATGATGTTGGATGATAAATAAAATCTCACCTGAGTGACTTTTGATATAAAATATATCAACACAGCAATCCTCAGAGTTTTTCCACTTTTATCAACTCATGTTGATATATTTGATATCAAAAGACACGCGGGTGAGATTCTCTATGTACACAATGAGTACATTATGCACATGTGAAGTCAGGTGGTGGGTGCACGAGGAATGAGGTAATATTTTGTGCACCTGGGCATGCAGTTATCATATACACAGCGGAATAATTTACCAATTGCAGCGCCATCTGGCGTTCTTTATTTACAACGTCTTTAAGCAGTTTAGTGTCCTTCGTGCGCACTGACATTCTTTAGTGCACAATGTTCTTACTTTTCATGTGCATCTTTTCATTACATTTGACTATTATATTGCGCACTTTTGACCTTTGACTTTGTCTGTTTATTTTGTATTTTGACCTTAATTAGTAACATTTATTACTTTATTCATAACATTTAAATATTATTGCGTACTTTTCTCCTTTGATTCAACTTTGTATTTTTGGACTAAATGGCCGCCCATACTCCTGAACAGTCCTGAATACTACTTCCTCCGAAGTATTGCTTCAGTAAATTCTTCAGTTTTCTCAACAGGCTTTTTGTTGTACTTAGTAAATGTGTATTCTTTCGACCATCCAGCAGCTTTCATGACAGTCTTAAAAGGAACAGTTGCAGTTCTCGCAGCTGTTGTTGCAGATGCCCTAGTAGAGTGTGGTTTTAAAATGGACATGTCAACACCAGAATTAACTAAAAAAATTTAACCTGCCTTATCCATCCAGATAAAGTCTCTCCAGACACCGCATTGTTGGGCTTAACAAAACTGATGTGCAAACTTGTGCAATCATTTCTTAATGATTCAGTTCGTGAAATATATTCTTTCAACACACTAACTATGCATAACCTCCGATATTGAGAGAATGCTGGCAGTACAATCTCAGAGGTGCTTCCAAGGTCTAGTTGTTTTTGTCAAATCTCCTATCCTAACCTTACACTTTGCAAATGTAATGGACATGTTTCTCAAATCAAACAAAGGAAAAGAGTGCACTCTTTGTCCTGATAACAATGCTAACAAAGCAACTAGTTTGAGAGAAAGTAATTTTAGTGATAAACTTCCCACTGGAGACAATATTTTTCAAATAATGTAAAACAATATCTGGGTCCCAGGTCGCTTCACAACTTGGAGTTGTGGGTCTCAACTGAAACACACCTTTCAGATATCTGACAAGAAGAGGAGTCCCTATCGTCTGTCTTGAAACACATGTTGACAAAGCTGATCTGGCGGTATTTCAAGAACTATAACCTAAACCTTTATTAAATAGCACAGTCATAAAGTCTATAACCACTCCTATAGGTGGTGCAAAGGGATCTGGACATTGTCCACAACAATATTCCAGATATTGTCTGATGAGAGGACTGTACTACTGCTTAGTGGACTTCCTCCATGATTGCATGATGATCCATGCTCTCCTTCTCTAAATGCCTTGCTCCTGAAAGACATCCCGGACACTAGACATGCACACAGCCTCAACTTGGGCAAGCTGTGAGTCTTCGCATCCACTTGTGGCCAGGGGAGGGTGCCTCGTTCTCTAAGAAAAAGAAATGGGCAATCAATAAGCATGCAAGTCAACTTGGAAAACCATACTTGTGTGATCCATATTGGTACCACAATTATTCCTTCTGCAGATTCATGTAGTGTCATTAATATACACACTGATCAGGTGACCACAGTAAAAATGGAGTGTCATGAATATACACACTGATCAGTTGACCAGGGAAATAATGTTGTGTCATGAATATACACACTGTTCAGTTGACCAGGGAAATAATGTTGTGTCATGAATATACACACTGTTCAGTTGACCAGGGAAATAATGTTGTGTCATGAATATACACACTGTTCAGTTGACCAGGGAAATAATGTTGTGTCATGAATATACACACTGTTCAGTTGACCAGGGAAATAATGGAGTGTCATGAATATACACACTGTTCAGTTGACCAGGGAAATAATGGAGTGTCATGAATATACACACAGATCAGTTGACCAGGGTGATAATGTAGTGTCATTAATATACACACAGATCAGTTGACCAGGGTGATAATGTAGTGTCATGAATATACACACAGATCAGTTGACCAGGGTGATAATGTAGTGTCATGAATATACACACAGATCAGTTGACCAGGGTGATAATGTAGTCTAATGAATATACACACAGATCAGTTGACCAGGGTGATAATATAGTGTCATAAATATACACACAGATCAGTTGACCAGGGTGATAATGTAGTGTCATGAATATACACACTGATCAGTTGACCAGGGAAATAATGTAGCGTCATGAATATACACACTGTTCAGTTGACCAGGAAAATAACGGAGTGTCATGAATATACACACTGATCAGTTGACCAGGGAAATAATGGAGTGTCATGAATATACACACTGATCAGTTGACCAGGGAAATAATGGAGTGTCATGAATATACACAAAGATCAGTTGACCAGGGTGATAATGTAGTGTTGTGAATAAACACACTGATCAGTTGACCAGGGTAATAATGTAGTGCCATGAATATACACACAGATTAGTTGACCAGGGTAATAATATAGTGTCATGAATATACACACAGATCAGTTGACAAGGGTGATAATGTAGTGTCGTGAATAAACACACTGATCAGTTGACCAGGGTGATAATGTAGTATCATGAATATACACACAGATCAGTTGACCAGGGTAATAATATAGTGTCATGAATATACACACTGATCAGTTGACCAGGGTAATAATAAAGTGTCATGAATATACACACAGATCAGTTGACCAGGGTAATAATATAGTGTCGTGAATAAACACACTGATCAGTTGACCAGGGTGATAATGTAGTGTCATGAATATACACACAGATCAGTTGATCAGGGTAATGATATAGTGTCATGAATATACACACTGATCAGTTGACCAGGGAAATAATGGAATGTCATGAATATACACACAGAACAGTTGACCAGGGTGATAATGTAGTGTCGTGAATATACACACAGATCAGTTGACCAGGTAATAATATAGTGTCATGAATATACACACAGATCAGTTGATCAGGGTAATGATATAGTGTCATGAATAAACACACTGATCAGTTGACCAGGGTGATAATGTAGTATCATGAATATACACACAGATCAGTTGACCAGGGTAATAATATAGTGTCATGAATATACACACTGATCAGTTGACCAGGGTAATAATAAAGTGTCATGAATATACACACAGATCAGTTGACCAGGGTAATAATATAGTGTCGTGAATAAACACACTGATCAGTTGACCAGGGTGATAATGTAGTGTCATGAATATACACACAGATCAGTTGATCAGGGTAATGATATAGTGTCATGAATATACACACTGATCAGTTGACCAGGGAAATAATGGAATGTCATGAATATACACACAGAACAGTTGACCAGGGTGATAATGTAGTGTCGTGAATATACACACAGATCAGTTGACCAGGGTAATAATATAGTGTCATGAATATACACACAGATCAGTTGATCAGGGTAATGATATAGTGTCATGAATAAACACACTGATCATTTGACCAGGGAAATAATGGAATGTCATGAATATACACACAGATCAGTTGACCAGGGTGATAATGTAGTGTCTCGAATAAACACACAGATCAGTTGACCAGGGTAATAATATAGTGTCATGAATATACACACTGATCAGGTTACAAGGGTAATAACGTTATGCCATGAATGTACAGACTGATCAGTTGGTCAGGGTTTTAATGTAGTGCCATGTTGACATTTTAAATTGTTATACGTCAATAAGCATCTTGCAATTGCATTTGGTTTATCTGTACCACATGGCGAAACAATACATTTCAATGGAAAACCCCAAATCACGTGATCGACACTGACCTCAATTATTGACTCATCACAGGAACAGTATTGACCTGTCATGTGTTGAATTTTGACACTCATCTGCAAGAACACAAGATGACATTTAGTAGTAACATTTCACAGTTTATTGTAATGACACAGAGGAAAGTGTAAAGGCAAAAAATGAATATGCAAAAACAAGGACTATCGGAACAGGCCCCTTTGGTTTTCTGACCACCACAGGGGCCGTGTCGCTGGGTCTTCTGTTTTCGCATATTGACCACAAATGCAAGTGAGCTACAGTGTCATTGAATTGTATAGGGATAGGTAACAGCTGAGCTTACTGGTCACATAAAAATGAGTTAAAAGGGTAATATATACTCTTCAAAAAAAGAAACTTGACATAGATGTAAAACCACTTTTTGCCAAATATCTAAAATAATTACATTAAATGAGAACCAATTAAGTCAAACAGAAAGATGATGTGTCTATAATTTGGGAAAACACATGCAAAGCACATAAACGTAACGTTTGGGGATCAATTTTACAGCTTCATCCAAACGCAACCGCCTGTAAAAAACGTGCAGCACAGGATCCTGCATTTAGTCATGCGGGCCCCCCTGCTGAATGGGTATAAAAATTCACATCAACGGCTGTTCATACAGTCCTTATAACAGCAGTAGAGGCGGTGACAGAATGCCAAGACTGAATGCAGCTCAACGGAACAACGCCATTGGGAGATTACAAGCTGGACCAACTCAGCAAGAAGTGGCCAGGCACTTTGGCGTATCCAGGCAGACAATCTCCACACTGTGGACCCGATACAACATCACCAACAGAGTTGACGACAGACCAAGGTCAGAAAGACCAAGGGTGACAAACCAAGCACAAGATCGATATATCCGGCTGCGACACCTCTGAGACCGCACTACCACAGCCACGTCTACAACCACACAGATCCCTGGGGTACGCAGAATATCAGATCAAACAGTACGCAACGGACTGAGGGAGGCTGGACTTTTTGCACGAAGACCTGTTCGATGTCATGTATTGACCCCACGTCATCTGGCGGACCGTCTGCTTTGGTGCCAACAGAGGGTTAGATGGGCACGTGCAAGGTGGAGAAATGTACTGTTTACTGACGAGTCCCGTTTCCTACTCACACGTGCTGATGGGCCCGCAAGTGTCTACAGACGTCGGGGTGAATGTTACGCCCCCAACCCTGGCAGCAGGTTGTCCCATTTGGTGGCGGGAGTGTCATGGTATGGGCTGGAATTCATCACGGTGGTAGGACGCCTCTCGTACATGTGGCAGGTGCATTGACAGGTGTGCGTTACAGAGACTTGATCCTACAGCCTTACGTTCTTCCTCACGTCAATGTTCATGGCGGACAGTTCCAGCAGGACAACGCTCGACCGCATATTGCACGTGTCTCCGATTGAGCATCTGTGGGACGAGTTGGATCGACGCGTTCGCAGAAGGAATCCACGGCCCCAAACACTTCTGCCGCTTCTTGATGCACTTCAGCATGAATGGCAGCACATCCAACAGCGTGTTATTGACAACTTGATTGCATCTATTGGTCGTCGGTGTCAAGCGGTGATTGATGCACGTGATGGTCACAACCGATACTGACATTTTCTGTACCCCTGTGACATTAATTGTATCTTGTATGTGTGTCTGTCTAGGTGACACGATTAATGTTTTGAACATTGTGTACATTGATCTTGAAACAGTGTTTCAATTATGGTTTCTGTGTCCTATTTTGAAACAATAGCATTATATTACATTTTGAAAGTCAGTGTCAAGTTTCTTTTTTTGAAGAGTATATATAGATTATATGTGCATTTGATAGATTTTCACTGCTGTGTTTCAAGCCAACAATCTGTCATTTCACCCAGTAGTCCACATGGGTTTTGGATTTTCATTATAAGGTTGACAGGTCTTCAATTTATTTATGAGAACATATAGAATGTATCTTCATGTGTTTTTATTTTCACCCTGTCTGTAGACAATATTGTCAAAATGCATTCCACATTCATGTTGCAGATAAACTGACAGAAACATTCTCCAGACTTCATTTTAAGATAGAGCGCTACAATGATCTGCCCTCCAACAGAATGTCTGAATTACTGTGGACCATTGGCGGAGAGAGGGTCAAGGCAGAGCATGACTGTTTTGTTTGTTGCGTGCTGTCACATGGAAATAGTACAGACAAGTTATACGGTTCGGACTGCAAACTAGTTGAGGTTAATCAACTCAAGGCCCCATTCAGGCCCAACTGCTGCCCAAACCTGGCTCTCAAGCCCAAACTGTTCTTCCTGCAGGCGTGCCAGGGGACGGAGAAGCAGGAAGGTTAGTCACAGTGAAATCGAACCCTACTTCCCTCAAGGCTGGTTGGTAAGTGGCACTGCATGTCTACTCAGAATCAACCCTACTTCCCTCAAGGCAGGTTGGTAAGTGACACTGTGTCTCTCCTCAGAATCAACCCTTCTTCCCTCAAGGCAGGTTGGTAAGTGACACTGTGTCTCCCCTCAGAATCAACCCTACTTCCCTCAAGGCAGGTTGGTAAGTGACACTGTGTCTCTCCTCAGAATCAACCCTTCTTCCCTCAAGGCAGGTTGGTAAGTGATACTGTGTCTCCCCTCAGAATCAACCCTACTTCCCTCAAGGCAGGTTGGTAAGTGACACTGTGTCTCTCCTCAGAATCAACCCTTCTTCCATCAAGGCAGGTTGGTATGTGACACTGTGTCTCTTCTCGAAACAACCCTTCTTCCATCAAGGCAGGTTGGTATGTGGCACTGTGTCTCTTCTCAGAATCAACCCTTCTTCCATCAAGGCTGGTTGGTATGTGGCACTGTATCTCCCCTCAGAATCAACCCTTCTTCCATCAAGGCTGGTTGGTAAGTGGCACTGTGTCTCTCCTCAGAATCAACCCTTCTTCCCTCAAGGCTGGTTGGTATGTGGCACTGTGTCTCTTCTCAGAATCAACCCTTCTTCCATCAAGGCAGGTTGGTAAGTGGCACTGTGTCTCTCCTCAGAATCAACCCTTCTTCCCTCAAGGCTGGTTGGTATGTGGCACTGTGTCTCTTCTCAGAATCAACCCTTCTTCCATCAAGGCTGGTTGGTAAGTGGCACTGTGTCTCTCCTCAGAATCAACCCTTCTTCCCTCAAGGCTGGTTGGTATGTGGCACTGTATCTTTCCTCAAAATCAACCCTTTTTCGCCCCATGCTGGTTGGTATGTGGCACTGTGTCTCTTCTCAGAATCAACCCTTCTTCCATCAAGGCTGGTTGGTAAGTGGCACTGTGTCTCTCCTCAGAATCAACCCTTCTTCCCTCAAGGCTGGTTGGTATGTGGCACTGTATCTTTCCTCAAAATCAACCCTTTTTCCCTCAAGGCTGGTTGGTAAGTGGCACTGTGTCTCTCCTCAAAATCAACCCTTGGTTGGTAAATGGCACCAGCTTAATAAACTACATTAAAAAGCATCATTAAAAGTTGACCAGAAATATTCTAACCACTAAGCTGACCAATGATACTCATATGTATTAATTATCGAACAATAGCTATCATTGTTAATAACTGTAAGAATGCTACCTCTATTACATCTTTGCAATAAATCCTGTATTTTGGCTTCAGTCACATTGACTAAATTTTCAGATTTTCAACAGACGTCCTCTTCACTATCAATTACACACAATTAGTTGTTCCCTAATAGCACTAGAGCAACCCAAGTTATGGCGTGCATAATGGCGGGAAACCTTACTTCTTTCCAACATCTAACCACTAGAGGTAGATGAATTGGGGAGTTGGGTGGGAGTACTCCTGATATAATAGAGGTAGTATTCTTAGAATTATTAACAATGATAACTATTGTTTGATAATTATTGCGAATCCTCTACCTCTATTACATCTTTGCCAGAAAATACCAGAGAGACCTGGCAGGATCTGCCTCCAGTAACTCCCTGTGTAATTGACAGTAAACCTCTTCTGGAAACCAATTTATCACTGATTCTAATCCTTACCCGAGATAATTTCCTCTGAAATTTCTCTTGAGGGCTTGAATATCAGAATGCATCAAGAATCAGTCAAATATGTAATGCCTTCACGAGAATATATTTGTGGATCTTGTTAGTAGTAATGACGTCATTTCTTGTCTATTTCTACCAAATGACCTCATTTCCTGTTAAAAATGGATTTGTGACACTATTTCCCATGGTGACATCACTTCCGGTACTGACATCACTTCCGATTATGACTTCACTTCCGGTTTGTCAATTCCCTTTTATTGGATGTCTCTTATAGTCTATTTCTACCAAAAGACGTCATTTCCTGATTAGATGGACTTTGTACTGCTATTTCCGATGATGACCTCACATCTGGTTTCTATCTCTTCCGGCTCTGACATCACTTCCGGTCATCTGCACCTAGTTCTTGAAGCAGTTGATACTCAAGGTGTTTCTAATCCATCCTACACCTAATAGACAGGATAAAAAATGGTAGATGATAGTTTGCACCTCGACAATGGGTCCACTGACAGCCAGACACCACTTGTTCCGCCGAAACGGATATCCATGAAGAGCGAGACTCGTGGCTAGGGCTCTGATGTCAAGACCAGAGCAGGATCCAAGATGGGGAGTGGCATTCTGTGTCTGCGTACAACTCACTTCCACGGTAGATTTAATCCAACCAATTACTGTAGCCTTGGTGATGTCTTTGTTAGAATGAGGATCGCAGGATATGAAAAGTCTCCTTCGATGGCGTCCATGTGGGTCTGTAGCTGAGAGGTAGAATTTGAGAGCTCTGATGGGACAGAGAAGTCTGTCTGGGTGATCCACTGTCTGCCCCAAGGCAGGAATGGTATAGTGTCCATGGCCCAACGGCCCCATGGCGATAGACTGATTTTTGGCTATAAAATCTGGAAGCAATCTTAGAGTAATTGAGGTCTAATGTTGATCATGAGTGAGACTAGAATAGTCCAAGGCATGGAGTTCTGAAACTCTTGCTGCTGTCAGCATGGCTAGGAGGCAGGATGCTTTCCTGTATCTTTTGGAGTAAGGTGGCCTTTATATAAGCCAGGGGCTCATAAGGTTCTGTTAAAAGCGCAGATAACACAACAGATAGTTTCTACTTGGGGAAGATACGAGGCGTGCGAACATCTTCTAGTAGTCTGTTTAGAATGGGATGGTTTCAAATTGCGAGTCCGTCTTGTTGAAGTACAGAGTGAAGTGCCGATCGGTAACCTTCTATCGTCCTATGTCTGAACTTATTGTCCTGACTTAGATGTGGTAGAAAGTCTACTACCATAGGGATTGGGATTGTATTAGTTTTCTCCACTAGACGAACTTATCCCATCTATTGTAAAAGGTAGGATGAAGGTCTTCATGATCTTGCCACAGCTTCAGAGACAGGTCCTCAGTACCAGGATGTCTGCATCTTTTGCATGATAACTTCCAGGCGGTAAGATGTAGGTTGGGCAGGTTGTCATTTGACCTGGGCTGTCATAACAGATCTTGAAGGAGAGGTAACTGGAGAGGCTCTTCCATTGATAGACTTCATAATCTGGGGAACCACACTCTGTTGGGACAGATTGGTGCTATCAAGATTATCATGCAGTCTGTCTTCTCCACCTTGTGGATGACCTTGTCTAGGAGAGACCAAGTTTGGAATGCGTCTTCAAATTGACCATTCCAATCCATCGATAGCGCATTGATCTGGTGAGACATTGGATCAGGATCTGGACTGACATAAACCGGATGTTGATGGCAGGTGGCAAAGTGATCTAGATGCGGTGTGAAAGGCTGTCAGCAAGGATGTTCAGCTCCCCGGGAGTATGTCTCGCTTACATCCGGCAACTGATGGAGTCTGTCAAGGCAAACAATCATGTCGTCTCCATCATCAGAGAACTGGATCTGGTTCCTCCTTGTTTCTGAATGTATGCCACTACCGTGGTGTTGTCCGTGGCGATGAGGATGGACGATGGGGAGAGACATATCTTCCATGCCAGGATGGCGTAATAAATGACCTTTATTTCCCTGAAGTTGATATGAAGGATCTTCTCTCCCGTGTTCCAAGCTCCTTGTACTGTGAGATCGTCCACATGGGGTCCCCATCCCGAATCTGACGCGGCTGTAAATAGATGGTCTTCGGGTGTCGGAAAAGTCAGAGGAATGCCGCTAATCACATGCTCTCTGCGAGTCCACCAATGAAGGTCCCGTAATAAGTTGAGAGGTAACTGAGTCTTGAACTCTAGGATGTGGGATCGTAGTGAGTTGATCCATAACATCAACCTTCCTCTGAAGGTCTTATCCTGTAGAGACGTTGGAGTTGGAAACGCGCTCCAATGTAATCATGATATCTTGAACCGGAGTGGTCTCCGACTTGGAGGGATTGACTAGGAAGCCTAGGTCATAAGCTGAACCAGAAATAGCATGTTCTGGTGTAACTGAGCTTCTTTTTGGTCTGCTGCCAGGAAATCTTCCAGGTACCCATGCATTCATCCTAGCTTGAGGTGGGCAAACCTGATGACTGGTGCTGTAATCCTGGTAAACAACCAAGGGGCTATTGATATCCTGAATGGTAAGACCTGGAACTCATATCGTCGACCATTGATTGCGAAGCGCAGGTACTTCTGTGACAATGGGTGTATGGGGATGTGAAGATAGACGTCTTATAGGTTGGGGCTGATGAGCCAATTTCCTGTCCTCAAAATCGACCGCAACTTCCGTACGGAATCCATCTGTAACTTTAGAGAAGGTACCAGGAATGATTTGTTGAGGATCTTTAAGTCTATTATCATCCTCATGTCGGGCAAATTCTTCTTTTTCGTTTGGTTGGACAGCTCTTAAACGAATCTGTGCTCGTAGTTGTTGACACTGTACCCAGAGTAGCTGTGAAGACATCTAGACATGAGTGCATTCTGACTATGGTGTCTAGCTGGCTGTGGATAAGTCCGACTTGATCTGTCCTAATAGTCATATGAGTCTCTCCTGATATGCTATCATATGATGTCTGCAACGGAGGAATGATCTGCCTGATTCCGGCAACAAACCAGTTGATATATGTGCCAATGTCCATTGAATGTTTGGACGCCATAGACAGGTCTTTAATCCGGTAAGCAGGTAATGTGACCTTAGTATTAGGGTTGCGTACTAGCTTCATAAAGTCCTCGTCCAAAACTTGATGGTCCGGAAGTGGAGAATCATGGGTTTGATACATCTTCCGCTTCAATGGAGGTAAGGTTAGCTGGTCATCATGTCTGAGCTTGAGTAGACTTTCAGAAGCATAACTCGGCCACGGCAATGTCTGGTGGATATGTTGAGATGATGTAGGAGCATGACATCCTCCGTATTCCGGCATCTTATCTGGTGAATTTTCTGTCATTGGAGGTTGGAGTATAGGCATAAGATGATATAACTCTTCAATGAGTTCCACAAAGCTGTATCAATCTGTATAATCCCGCTGGGGTGAATTGTCAGAATGATTAACCTCCTCATATAGGTCCAATTCCGCCTCAGAATGACCGTGGGTAACTCCCGGGAGGGGTGGATGTTCATCATAATCCATACACTCAACGTGTTCCCCGTGTGGTTCATCATCCGCTGGTGTCCAGTAAGGTCCGTGCAGCTTGTGATGACTGCCCATGTATAAAGGAACTCGTATGGTCCTCCATCAAGGGATGATGGTCCTCCATCAAACCGCTAGGCTGTTCCATGATGTATCTCAGTCTCTGTCGGTAGTACCTGGATGGTCCCGTGCGGTCCGTGCGGCCCGTGCGGTCCGAGCAGTCAGTTGATGATGACTTTGCAGTTGAAGTGACACTCCCATCAACCGTGGTCAACCGTGGGGTCCGTGCAGTGACCGTATAGTGTCTTAGATGGGGAAGATGGTCTTGCAGTACCCTGACAGGACCCAAGCGTAGATCTAGATGCCCATGTCTCACAGGAGGGTAAACACCTAGAACACCTAATTGTGTGTAGTTGACAGTGAAGAGGACGTCTGTTGAAAATCTGAAAATTAAGTCAATGTGACTGAAGCCAAAATACAGGATTAATGTCAAAGTTGTAGCAGGGGTAGAGGATTCACAAGAATTATCTAAATTGTATGTGTCTGTTGTTGTTGTTGCGACATAGGCGGGACCTAAGCACTTAATTGCTGTGTGACTATATTGGATCAGGAGATCAGACGCTGTGATTTTGCTGACATACCCTCATTGTTCCAGCTTTACTTACCTGCAGGTTGCTGTGATATTCCTAAATTATTGTTGAATGCTGTTGTACAGCATTCACATTCACTCTTTTCCAGTGTGTTGTGTGTATTGTCCAGACTGTAACTTGTGTGGTGTTTGTGTGTGCAGGGGTGCAAGTGCAGATTGACTCTGCTGTCGAGGATGATGGACCAACTGTGACGGTGGCTAAGGAGGCTGACTTCTTGGTAGGCTATGCAACAGCACCTGGGTATGTGTCCTACCGCAGCAAGTCCAAAGGGTCCTGGTACATCAGTAAGCTCACGAAGATGCTGGATACACATGCACACACGTACGTAGCTAGTTTAGTTACAATGCACAGTTTCCAACTGTTCCTAAGTGGCAAACCTACTAACTCTTGGTACCCCTGTACCTTTTGTAAGCTTTTGTAAGCTCTTTTCTAAGTCTAAATGCAAAATATACCAGAAAGTATAAGAAACAATACAGTAATAGCCTTGAATTCGATGACAATGTGTGAGAGAAAGACCACATAAACCTTTCACTTAGAGTGATGTGTAACACCCTGTGTTCTAGGTAGAGTGATGTGTAACACCCTGTGTTGTATGTTCTAGGTAGAGTGATGTGTCACACCCTGTGTTCTAGGTCGAGTGATGTGTAGCACCCTGTGTTGTATGTTCTTATTAGAGTGATGTGTAACACCCTGTGTTGTATGTTCTAGGTAGAGTGCTGTGTAACACCCTGTGTTGTATGTTCTAGGTAGAGTGATGTGTAACACCCTGTGTTGTATGTTCTAGGTAGAGTGATGTGTAACACCCTGTGTTGTATGTTCTAGGTAGAGTGATGTGTCACACCCTGTGTTCTAGGTCGAGTGATGTGTAGCACCCTGTGTTGTATGTTCTTATTAGAGTGATGTGTAACACCCTGTGTTGTATGTTCTACATAGAGTGATGTGTAACACCCTGTGTTGTATGTTCTAGGTAGAGTGCTGTGTAACACCCTGTGTTGTATGTTCTAGGTAGAGTGGTTTGTAACACCCTGTGTTGTATGTTCTAGGTAGAGTGATGTGTAACACCCTGTGTTGTATGTTCTAGGTAGAGTGCTGTGTAACACCCTGTGTTGTATGTTCTAGGTAGAGTGATGTGTAACACCCTGTGTTGTATGTTCTAGGTAGAGTGCTGTGTAACACCCTGTGTTGTATGTTCTAGGTAGAGTGGTTTGGAACACCATGTGTTGTATGTTCTAGGTAGAGTGGTTTGGAACACCATGTGTTGTATGTTCTAGGTAGAATGATGTGTAACACCCTGTGTTGTATGTTCTAGGTGTTGTATGTTCTAGGTAGAGTGATGTGTAACACCCTGTGTTGTATGTTCTACATAGAGTGATGTGTAACACCCTGTGTTGTATGTTCTAGGTAGAGTGATGTGTAACACCCTGTGTTGTATGTTCTAGGTAGAGTGATGTGTAACACCCTGTGTTGTATGTTCTAGGTAGAGTGCTGTGTAACACCCTGTGTTGTATGTTCTAGGTAGAGTGATGTGTAACACCCTGTGTTGTATGTTCTAGGTAGAGTGCTGTGTAACACCCTGTGTTGTATGTTCTAGGTAGAGTGGTTTGGAACACCATGTGTTGTATGTTCTAGGTAGAATGATGTGTAACACCCTGTGTTGTATGTTCTAGGTGTTGTATGTTCTAGGTAGAGTGATGTGTAACACCCTGTGTTGTATGTTCTACATAGAGTGATGTGTAACACCCTGTGGTAAAATGGTGTCCAACCTCGATCTCCCGTCCATAGTATTTACAATATCCAGTTACAATATGTGAGTGAGTGAGTGAGTGAGTATGGTTTTACGCCGCTTTTAGCAATATTCCAGCAATATCACGGCGAGGGACACCAGAAATGGGCTTCACACATTGTACCCATGTCGGGAATCGAACCCGGGTCTTTGGCGTGAAGAGCGAACGCTTTAACCACTAGGCTACCCGACAGCCCCGTTACAATATGTAAAATAGGCAGAAAGGACAGAGAATCAGAATAAGATAGTTATTATCTGATATATGTTAGTATAGAATTCTTTTATATGATAGATACAAAATTGAACTGTTGTCATGAGTGATCACAACTTGAAATTAAGACAAGATGTAATTTGGATGAAACGGTTGTGGAAGTGGAGCTACTAGCTAGTGGAATGCAGAATGTAGGCTTTACCCCTGTGAAGTGTCCCCAATGCAGCAACTGTTGCCCTGCAACTAATGTTGCTAAGCAACCCATATTGCTATGCAGCTAGCGCTGCTAGGTAAGTACTGTTGCCAGATATTGAGTGATGGCAACTATTGATGCCAAGCTGACCATCCGCTCTAAAAGGACACTACGCCATTCGCTGTTGAGCAGAATGGACAAATTGGTTCCTGCTGTTAACCCTATCCTATATAATTTATAATTTTGGATGTATCCCAAGATGCCAAATGTAAATTGTAATGCAGTCAACCAAGACCCCATCCCTCCGGAGGAGGTGAAATTGTTAACAGCTGTACGAGCTGATGTTAGAATGACGTGACGGTTGGGGAGTATCGGTGGTGACGTCATATGACCAAGGGTAGTGACGTCATATGACCAAGGGAAGTGACATTTGGAGAGAAATGATGTATGGTTGCTATGGGGGTAAGGGGGGTTGGGGTGTTTATAGCATTGTTTGGTGGGGTAGTTTGTGAGGGTTAGTCTAGTCAGTTACTATGCGGAGCTAACCAAGAACTGATTTTGCTTAATAATGCTAAATCATATTTTATTGAATTTTCATTTGCTAAATGAAAAATATTTAGCCATGATCACATTTTCTTTTTTAAGGGTTGCTCTGAACTTTGGTGAAAGTGTTGAGTTTGTATCATGTAGTGGAATACATTCTTATTGTCGAAGGAAAACATAATTCATGAGAATGTTTTTAATCTTGTAAACGGAAGTTGAATGTAAATTCATGTTCTTTGATCTAACTTTGCTGGCTATGAGGTCTTTAAGAGAAGATGTTGCTAATCATTATATATTTTATAAAACAGACAAAGTTGACATTTTTTTCATCATTCTAATAATGTTTTCCCGTCTGTCTTTAATATGATGTGATGCATCATTTGGAAGACCAGTAACTATTCTTGCATCCTCTACTTGAAAGTTTTGCTATGTGATTCATCTGTTCTGTTTGCGCACACATCCCAAACTTCACATGCATATCTAAAATGCAACCTTATAAAATCTGTTAATACCCTTCATTACGAGACAAAGTGTATATTTTCAACACAATAAGACACCACTTAAATGGGTAGATTATGGTTAAATATCACATTGTATTATATGTTCAGTGTTAGTATAAATAATCCCATGCAGCAGTAAGTATGATCAAAATTTAAGTTTTTATCTTAATTTGGAGACATAACTCATTTGGCACCAACACACGCCTCTGACAGCTTTGTGGCTGCCGCGGCACGGACACAGTGGTTTGAGTAAATCTGGGGAAACCCCACGGCATGAGAGATAGTTGACATCATCTTGCCATATTTCTTCTCGGTAATAATAGTCAAATATTCAACTATAACTTTTAAAAAATCTATTTCACCGAAAACTGATGTGGATGCGCCATCTTGCGTGACAGTAATGAGAGAATGATGTTACTAAGGATACATTAGATCTCAGGGGAGGTAATTTGAACTGGGTTGTGACCTTTAAAGATCTCGTCTTGGATAGAGCTTCATTCACAAAGACCTGTTCTGGTTGTTGCAGGGAGGACCTGCTGAGCATTCTCACAAAGGTGAATAACGAGGTTGGGACGGAGCTGGGGCCACATGGGCAAAAGCAGTCACCGGCACCACAGTTCACACTCACAAAAAGGCTAATCTTCAAGAAGTTGGACTCTACTGCATAGACATCATCTGTGATTAGATTATACACAGATTATCAACTATAACGAAGTAGATATATCCTACTTGACACAAAATGCGGAATGAACAGTACAGCTGCTTTTTGTTTGTTTGTTGTTAAATGCAGCACTCAGCAGTATTGCAGTCTGTTCAAGACAATCCAGTGATGGACATAATGAGTATCGATCCACACAATTTGAATAAGATGACATGCATGAACCAAGTCAACGTGTCTGACCACCCGATCCCTCTTACGACAAGCAGTCGAAAAGCTGCTATTTGAGCAACATTATTGTTTCAGAGAAAATGATTAATTTGATTTATTATTTATTTTGGGGGAATTAGAGTTTTAAATACCCGCATTCCCGACTGTTTGAGAGGGGCTGTTTTTGTCTCAGATGGCCAACTTTAAAAAGTCATATTGTTCGGCATTCTTAGTGTACATTGATCAATTGGAAGGGGTGCTAATCGGGATTGTTCACTAGCCAATATATTAGCAAATATTGCTGTGGGCGCTTATTACGCCGAATACGGTAATTGTGTTTTATACATGCTACGTGTTCTTACGTGTCGAACATACAGTTGTGCAAATTTGAAAAAAACTAGTCTCACACTTGTCATTATGATCTTAATAATTTGATTGTCAGATACCCTGGATCACATGTCTGGGCGTTGCACCACTAGATGAATGTATGAATCCAGTCTTGTCTCTATATTTGAAAATAAACTTCTATGTGGTATGTAATTGTGGTTTGAAATTTCTGACCAATCATTGTACTTTTCAAGGTCATAGAAGCATGTTGTATAACAACATTATGGCACTATTAGTATTACAGCTGTATTCCAGTGGCCTGTAAGTATTCAGCTGTGGACCACACAAGCCTGTGGTCGAGGTGCCACATGTAGATGACATAGGGGTACACAGTCCGCCAGGTCACACATAGGAACATTTTTTCATAAGCTCCTTTAAAAGCATTAAGTACTTGTGAATTTGTCCTATCCTAGAATACCAAATGTGGTAAGATATCTTGAAAAAAATTATTTGTGTATTGGGGTAGCAAATGAAGTTCTTTGCATTGATATAAATCTTAGGGCATACCACCATACCTCTACCGAGGAATTGAGTCATCTTTCTATGTTCACAGATGCCACATACACAGGACATGCCATAGCAAATATATACAGTACATTAGGAAACAAAACAATGTTTCAGGAATAATAAGCTGTTGATTGTTAAGTGTACAATGGAGCCAATTAAAGCCATATAGAAGCTGTAGTCCAGTATGTGTCGCTCTGTTTGTAGGAGTAAATGGTAATGTAGTAAGATTGTGATGATCCTGAAACTCAGTCTCACCTCTGGGCAGTACAGTACAGAGATGGGGCACACTCTGCTTAGTTTTGCTTTTCAAGTTTCAAAAAAGATGGTGCATCTTCAACATTCTTACCTATGAATGTCCTGAATCCCATTGTTACATATCTAAAAGGCAGTACAATACAGTGACTGACATCTGTGACATGCTTACAGCTGCCAACTATGAAACTATGCCATTCCATTACCTCATTCAGTCAGTATGGTTTTACCCCACTTTTAGCAATATTACACCAATATAATAGCTGATGATACCAAAATTGGGCTTGACACATGCACACATGAGAATTGAACCCAGGTATGATGAGCAAACACTGTAGCCACTGGCCTTCCCAACTGCCCCTGCTTCATTCAGACTACAGCATAGGTTATGTGTACTGTTATCATTGCCCTAGTGAGGAATATGAAACTACTATGCTTTGTTTGTTTGTTGTTTAACTCTGCACTCAGCAAACTTCCAGCTATATGACAGCGGTCTGTAAATAATCAAGTCTGGGCCTGACAATCAAGTGAATGACAATCATGAATCATGAGCATTAATCAATGCAATTGGGACACGATGACATGCATCAACTAAGTCAGCAAGCATGACCACCCAATCCTGTTAGTCGCCTCTTACGACAAGCATAGTCGCCTCTTACGGCAATCATGGGTCCCTGAAGACCTATTCTCCCCCCGGATCTTCATGGGTTGAAATTACTATGCAACAGGCATATTTCATGAGAAATACTAGAAAACACCAGCAAAGGATACTGAAAAGTTTGTCATCTTTATTCACAGCATAGGAGCTTTTTAATATAACAATTCACAGATTAATTTAGTGACATGATATATATGATTAAGGTACACCCAAAGATATGACAAACAAGCATAAAAAGAATGTACAGCTTGGTATGAAGCGATGACATGTGACACTGCACATGCTGGAATGACACTCAGACACATTCACTCGATATATAAGGCACCAGTACACAGCAAGTATTGAAACATGGTGCTGTCAACCTGCATGTATCATCACACACAAGGCTACTCATCCTTCCAAGTACCATGCCTATTCCCTGCAGTCAATGTGAAAGGCTTGTGTCATGACTGGCACAGCCCCACATCAAAGGGGTGAACATTCTCAATCACAAGACAGCACTTACTGAAGAATGTTGACACTGCTGTGTCATTAGGATTGAACATGAGGCCTATATCTATAGTGTACAGTCAAACCACCATGACATGCTAACACATGATAACAATCTCCATCACATATTGTACTACTGTTTTCTTGTTTAACTTGTAAATATATCCATCACCAAAACTGTGAAATAGCATGAATAGGATCAAGGTAATCAACACATTGCTACATAAGGATAGCTAAATCTCTCCTGTTTACCCAGTAACACTCCTGGCCTGCCAAATATTAAATATGACTTCCATAAAAAGTCGGATGTGATTTCTATGCAAAAAGAAATACAAAACTTGAAGCTGTCATGTGTAGAAAATTCACATAAACCATCTTAAAGTTGTTTATTTGTGTTTAGTGGCTAGCCTTACCACACAGAATGGGAAGCATTGATGTGCAGATTGCTCCTTACTATGCAACACTATATATTATATTAATTTTTTTTAGGGGAATGAGGCCCCCTTAAGTCTATGGAAGGGCATGGTGGAGATATGCGTCTAGAAAGTGTATAACACATTCTCTGTGCGACAACATCCCAGAGGCCTGGTCTACAGAGATGTACCACTAATGTAACATCTTCCCATGCACACCATCTATCATGACAATGCACTCATACACAGATACACAACAACTAAATGCAAGTAAGCTGATAAGTCAGACACGAGCACATGATGATGCTTAGGTAAAAGGACTTCATCACTATGGATATTTACATTCCATGAGGATGTGGCACCTATTGGGTATGTTGCTATAGTAACCAGACACCTGCAAGTGTCCCAACGAGAGATTTATGTTATAGGTATGACTGGGTCCTCTATACAGACTAGCACTTTAAATAGCTGTTAACATCACCACCTTGACAACGTCTTTTAATTAAATTCCAATTGCAACAAAGTTATGCTATGTATTTTAGGATTAAAACAAGGGCTTCAACTACAACACACACATTCTGTTTAAAACAGAAATGTGACTAGCGGAAGGCTAATTTTGTCTTTGTCCTGAAAATAGACTCATCTCCATCTGCTTTTCCATGTAACAGTCAAACTGTGACATTATCCTATTCTTCAGTAATGATTCATAATGGCAATCATCCAATGGTATGAGACTGTTACAACACACAAATTAACGTTTTAACCTTCACCAAGACTTCATGTACTTCCAGTAGTCCAGAGTCTACAAAGCTGAACGGGGTAGCAGTTTTACAAGAGGGGGTGGGGAATGTTGTGCTCCCGCTGTGACTGACGACTGGCATCTGCATGACTTCACTTGCGGGGCTGCTGGATGTTCATGTTGGTTCTGGGAGGAGCATGGCGGTCGATGGCTGGCATAGGCTTCTCATGGTATGCCTTCACAGCTGCAGCTGGGAAGTCCTTGTCCCCCTACAAGCAATACATAGAAAACACAACCTTAGAAAACAGATTTGTAAACAACCGAGAACCACATAATATTTGTCATCTCTTTAGAATTTCCAGACAGGCAGCCATGTTGTGTAGTCTTTCATCTAAAGTGGTTCTCTTGTACATTATTGAACTAATGAACTACACTTGTTTGTATCGCTCCACCAGCCTTGTGGTAGGGAACATGCCAACTGTTTAGCATCATGGACCTAATGTTTTACTCAAGTAGATGTTGCACAGTTAGGGTAGCTTGGTCAAATCAGATCAAGTAGTGCTGATGTTTCACAGAACTTCTCAGGGACTCCAGTCACATGTGAGCCAAACCAAGCAAACTAATGCTTATTTCCCACTATATCATGGTGGCCATTAAACGGCAAGAAAAAGTGAACAAATTTATTGTGTTTTTTTTATCGCAAATACCAATTTCCTAGATGCCATTAAGTCAATTCCCAAGAAAAAAAAGCATATCATTCATAGAAAGTATTTAAATGTCCAAGTGAAAGTGGTCAAATCCGTAATCAAATTCCAAACAAATCTATTTGGGTGTGTGGCCTAAAGCTACTGGCATAAGGTGTTGCAGTAGCGGTGCATGACAAATGTTTCCACTGGCTGATATGTACCGGTAGACTGTGTTGTAGTGTCTATCTGCTATATAATATATCTTGTGATGCCTAGCAGCTATACCGATATGTGACGAAGCGGTCAATCAAGAGAAATTTAAAAGTGAATATCGCTGCATACTTTATTGAGTGTGTGAAACGACCTTTGATCATGAAATTGTGAATTATGAAAACAACAATGAACGTCTAACTCACTTTATATGACAACAAGCGTAGGTTACTTGGGACCATTGTTGACCCTGAATCCCCCAGGGCAACAAGTGTGTAAGCATATCATCAATCATATCAACTGATTATTATAACTGCCATACCTTTGTCACAGCTCCAGACACTAGTATAGTCTGATGATGTTTGTCAGGTTTTGCCTCCCTGAAACACAGCATGGTTATCATGGATCTAGGGAAATAGTTAACCATAAGCCATAGAAGTGCTTACACCATTAAATATGTAGGTGTTTTTTTCTAGGACTAGGAGATTATGACAACATTAAAATGACAGATAATTTCAGATGTGTTAAATGTTTTCACTCTTATATCATGTCTACTCCAAAACTAATCATAAGAAGTCAACATTATCAATTGAGTACACTCAACATGCTCAATTTAAGATCCACGCTTTTATTGGCAACTAATAAATAGGTCAATACACATTTTGGAGCTGCCATTTTACAATTCAACACTCAACTAAAAAAAGTATCATTCTGATACATGCTGTCAGTAGAGATGCAAGATTATAAAGATCATGATAATATATAAAACTAGTCTACCATTATTTTCCCTTATGTTCTCTCCTAATTTCCACTCATCAATACCATCTCAGCAGAACCTGTAGCAGAGTAAAGGTGAGCAGCACTGAGCTGGAGCAAGACACTGGGACAAGCTCAGCCTACCCTGACCCCCAACATGACGGTTTACAGTAGCTGGAGCTTGACTGTAGTAAACCCGTCACGTTGGGGGTCAGGGTAGGCTGAGCTTGTCCCAGGGTGAAGGAGGAAGAGAGAAGAGAAAATGATAAAATGCACATGGGGAGCTAAACAGTTAAAGGGAACCTTACCCACTACCAAACTCCTCCTCTTCCTCTGCCGTGGGGGTTTCAGCTACTGGAGTACCTGCTGGGTGAGTCTTGGAAGCTACTCGCATACCTCCCACCTTCACTGCAATACAAGCCAATGCTCATCTTGTAGTGCCTTACCATTCAACCATGTATCAGAACATTGGGATACCATATAAACATGTATGTCCCACCAGGAAAGCAAAACTGCGGTATAAGTCCAGCTAATCCAGTCAGATGTGTGCCCTTTCTTTTGTCAGACTGTCAGATTACATTTTGTTGAACATAAGGCATTATCATGATTGTGGCAAACTGGACATGTTCATTTCTCAAAATATGAACATATATTTTAAGCAAGAAAGCATTTATTACAAAAAGCATATCTTTGACTGTTGAACGGACAAGTACAATTGGTACTTGTTTCACAGAAATATGCACATCTGTCACCAATAGTTATACAAGTGATAGTCCCAATCACACCTTTGAATTGGGTTGGGCTGGACAAAATACAACCATGTTTTTCATAGATATTTCTTGAATTTGCTGCACAGTTCTCTTGTTCAAATAGTTATCTTTAAAGGCTGGAATGATATGATTTGTTGTTCTTGTTCCAACTGCAAGAAAACGAAATATGTAAAAAAACATATTTTGTCCTAATGTACTCCAGTCTCCATTCAAAAGGCCTATTCCTAAGTCAATTTAACAGCTTTGATGTCAATCTAGCAAGCATATTTTTTAATGTGGTAATTTTGCAAGTAATTATTCTGAAAATAATACCTATTTGATCCTTACTTTTAGTTCCAAAAGATTTGATGGCCTAGTAGTCCTAGCATACATCAGCTGTATATAGTATCACAATGATCAATGATTTCATTACAAGTGTCATACTAAATTTGACCATGTTGACTGGAAAACTACGACCTAGCTCAGTCATGCATCAGTGTATGAGTTTGGTTTTATGCCGCTTTTAGCAATATTCCAGCAATATCATGATGGGGAACACCAGAAATTGTACCCATGTAGGGAATCAAACCTGGGTCTTTGGTGTGACAAGCAAACACTTAAACCACTAGGCTATCCAACCGCCCCCAATCATGCAAGGAAGGTCAGACTGGAACTTTTTCTCATCCATAAAAATAACAAGATGCTTTCAAGATTAACACTTAAAATAAACAAGTTCATCACACTCATCAAATTCGCTTTGCATTTTGTATGAGCTATACATACATGAGCCTGTCGTACTTCTACAGAGAATTATTATTATTATTATTATTATTATTATTAGGGTGGAGAGAAGAGATGACAAGAAGGAAGACATTTCTAGTCGCCGAACTATAAAACCTAATGCAGGAATGTGCTGGAATTTTGAAGTTGGAAGAAATGATCAACTTAAGTTACTGAGAGTTGCTGTTGTCTTGTTTGCACACACAATAGTAGGAACATTTTGTTTATGCATATGCATAGAAATTTCAACAACGCCCATGCCTGGGCACATATCAATATTAATGCGTAACCAGATTTGTATATGTTTGATCTTTTTAACAAACTAAAATGTGCTATTTCACTTACTGGTATATACATATTTAACATGAGTTATAAACAGAATGCTACACTCAAACTCGTTAGATGCCGTTTATGTGAAATTCATGAAGTCTCTATGGTAAATAATGGGAAAGAATGCAGTATTTTCTATGTATTTTGAGAGCAAGTACTGCCACATAATCTTGGCAAGCTATTGGACATTCCAGAATTTTCTTTTGTTCATTTTTCAAGTTTTGAATTGACAACATTGTAAAAATATTTTTCAAAGCGTAGTCTTGATTGGAGGTTGCCAGTTTGAAACTTGTGTTGTGAGGCTGGTGAAATCTGCTCTCTGGTTGGCTTAATGAGATTGGGGACAGTCATAGACTTATACTTCAGTTGATTACATAGCCTGTTACCTGAATATCTAATACTTGACAGCAGGCTGACTAACCCACAAATGTAGTGACATTATTTGGGCTGCGAGTAATTCGGGTACTCGGGTTGGTCCTTTGTAGGACCCGGGTACCCACAGGACTATCCTCACCCGAAGTTAGTCACGTGATATATTTACTCTTTCATGGCAATAACAATAAAAGTCCATGGTTACACAACAAGTTGCTAATGTTGGCATTTCTTTCTCACTATGCTGACCTTTACATGACAGAGTAAAGATAAAGTTTCAGTCATCTTCAATGTGTGCATGAACAGGCTGCTTCATATGTGTATCTAAATAGTTTTTGGTGGGGTTGCGGTAAAACAATTCCATGGACATGTTATACCTAACCCTTGTATCCTATAGCGGGTACCTGGATAGTACATTTGGGCTCATCCCAGCCCTAATTAATATTTTAGTGTACGCCTTTGTGAATGCCCTTCTAGTCAATTGGGAGAAGGTTTACTACTGATTTACTATTTCACAGATAAACTCATGTTTGTTTAATCATATTGATTCAATTGCAGACTAACGGAACAGCACCCATCCTCCCTCCTTACATTCTTACTGTACTAATTACATGATAGTTGAAATGTAACAGAAATTTAAATTGACAAACAAGCAAAATAATTTAGCTGGGGCGTCACAACAGTCATCACTGGATTGTAAACAATGGTCAGTCAGTTCAACTCCATGCATGGCTGTAGCCGCCTAGTACAGTGGGGAGCTGTGACTGGTGGCAGCAATATCATGTAGAGAATCCTGCAAAAGGGCTACCTCTGTAAGGAGCTTGGTAATCACAATGATTGCCAATTGAGTAAACTATGCGTGAAACTACCCTGCTTGTTTTCTCTAAGAATACATAACCTAGCCTGGCGTAATTACCGTGATATACGTCATCTCTACTTCATGTACATGGCAAGGAGCCTAATCGAGATTATTGGGTGTAAATCTACAGCTTCACTTGTAAACTTATTCCAAAATGCACAATCAGCTAGGTATATGTAGCCAGCAGACATGTCTTGATACTTAGCTGTTATTAGGACTAACATGTGTATATACTTTAACTGTTATTAGGACTAACATGTGTTGATACTTTAATGTGACATTAGAATAAACATGTCTTGATGTAAACAAGATTCGTCTATGTGTACAAAAGTTCCAGCGGAACTTTTACTTCCAACAACTGTTTCTTTGTAAGTGCATATCGCGTCAAGTTCTTATCAAACTGAAATTTGTTCCCGTCATACAGGAACTTTTACACACACACGTTCTACCTTGAAAAACTGTTGAGTGTTTAAAAGAGGGATTTTTTAATGGGACTTTATTAAAAAAAAAGATTTTGGTTGTGTTTTGGGCTCTGCATTCTTTCCGATTCTGTCACAATTACATGTGTTCTCATTTGCCGTTATCATTAACTATCAAGATCTTTATCATGCTTTCCTTTTTCATCATATTCTTTTGTTTTTCGTTCATATTATGTTTATATGTATTGCTTACATGCTTAGTTTCCCTGTTTTTCAAGTCGTACATTAATAATATATAATATACATAAACACACCAAAATAACAGTTCCTGTGAACCCGAATTCTTCAATGCAGGGTCGAACATTTTCAATGCAATTTTATGTATAAAATCATGATATTTTTTCCGGGTCAGAATTAAATTTGGGTGAAACAAAAAAATGCTAACATTGATACTTTAGCTGTCATTAGGACCAACGTGTCTTGATACTTTAGCTGACATTATGACCAACATGTCTTGATACTTTAGCTGACATTATGACCAAGATGTTTGCAGACTTCAGCCGACATTAGGACCAACATGTGTTGATGCCTTACCCGACATTAGGACCAACACAATTTGATACTTCAGCTGAAACTAGGACCAACATGTCATGATACTTTAGCAGACATTAGGACCAACACAATTTGATACTTCAGCTGACATTAGGAACACCATAATTTGATACTTCAGCTGAAACTTGGACCAGCATGTCTTGATATTTCAGCCAACATTAGGCATGTTAGGACCAACATGTGTTCATTTGATTTTTTCAGTTTAAAATTTCTGAGAAAATAACAACTTGCTGATGAACTAAAAATAACATCTAAAACTGAGAAACATGCGTTAATCTTGTTACCATTTGAGTATATAAAAAAATGCTTAACCAACGAGGTTAAAAAGGGAAATAACCGCAACGATGATAATTAATTAGCCTAACCTTCTTCTCGCCCAACTTCCCAAAATATATATTAGTTTTCACTCAAATAACTTGATGAACAGGAATACATACCTGCAGGGGGATGTCCTCCCTTCAACTCACTCTCCTCGGTGTTAGGGGCAGCTGCTGACATCTCCAGAAAATTCTGAAATTGCAGCAATATTGGATGTAAACAACACTTGGACGAGCACCTGCGTCGTGGATTCTGTGAGTACTACGTCATCAAACCTTGTATACGCAAATTATCGAGACGTTTTACGGAACGGAAGTTGTGAGTTGCTCAGTATTTATCAAGCACTATTCGACACACTGATTGACAAAACGTGACCACGTTATTCTTAGCTAGACGTGTAACGACATCTTATTACAACGATTATAGAAACAGCCGAGGAAGGATGGATAGTCTTGACGCATCTGAAAAGAAGAAGATATCAGAGGTGATGAAGAAAGCCAGACATGGGTAAGTTGGCACTGGCACTCGCTTCACAGGTCTCGCGTATTTTCGATCCTTATGGTTAGTTAATTGTGCTAGGGTTAGGGTAGGTTACCTCTAACACTATCCTCAGCCCTTGATCCCCTTTTTTGGTTAAGCATCCGTTTATGACCCTTAAGGTTGGGCTCACTTGCCAATCAAAGTTTGCCTCCCTTTACGATCCTTGAAATTAGGCAACCCCTTACGACCCATAGTGTTAATTGAAAGTTAGGGTGTGAGTTAGCTATCGCTTTTAACGAATTAATCCAATGTAATTTGATGAAAATCTGTACATTTTTTATCAAGTTTAGATTTTCGTTGAGAGAATGGCAACTGCATATGCGCACAATAGTAAACAATCGGGTGCTGATCACTTGGTAAACAAGCACTGATTATTTGTGAAAGAGACTGTGGTAAAGTGTCGACTATTTAACACATTAAATTTGTTAAGCTTCAAGCTGGTAACTGAAGTTTGATCCTCCAAAAGCAGCAGCTCTAACTGAAATCTAAAAGTGCACAAAAGTAAGGTTGTGTGGAAGTATCTCTGAAACAATAAGTCTATAGAGATGGTGTGGAAGTATCTCTGAAACAATAAGTCTATAGAGATGGTGTGGAAGCATCTCTGAAACAATAAGTCTATAGAGATGGTGTGGAAGTATCTCTGTAAACAATAAGTCTATAGAGATGGTGTGGAAGCATCTCTGTACACAATAAGTCTATAGAGATGGTGTGGAAGTATCTCTGTAAACAATAAGTCTATAGAGATGGTGTGGAAGCATCTCTGTAAACAATAAGTCTATAGAGATGGTGTGGAAGCATCTCTGTAAACAATAAGTCTATAGAGATGGTGTGGAAGCATCTCTGCCAACAATAAGTCTATAGAGATGGTGTGGAAGTATCTCTGTAAACAATAAGTCTATAGAGATGGTGTGAAAGCATCTCTGTAAACAATAAGTCTATAGAGATGGTGTGGAAGCATCTCAGTAAACAATAAGTCTATAGAGATGGTGTGGAAGCATCTCTGTAAACAATAAGTCTATAGAGATGGTGTGGAAGCATCTCTGTACACAATAAGTCTATAGAGATGGTGTGGAATTATCTCTGTACACAATAAGTCTATAGAGATGGTGTGGAAGTATCTCAGTAAACAATAAGTCTATAGAGATGGTGTGGAAGCATCTCTGTAAACAATAAGTCTATAGAGATGGTGTGGAAGTATCTCAGTAAACAATAAGTCTATAGAGATGGTGTGGAAGTATCTCAGTAAACAATAAGTCTATAGAGATGGTGTGGAAGCATCTCTGTAAACAATAAGTCTATAGAGATGGTGTGGAAGTATCTCAGTAAACAATAAGTCTATAGAGATGGTGTGGAAGCATCTCTGTAAACAATAAGTCTATAGAGATGGTGTGGAAGCATCTCTGTACACAATAAGTCTATAGAGATGGTGTGGAAGCATTTCTGTAAACAGTGACACACACGCTTGTATGTTATCTATGTAAAACATGTAAAGTGAGTAAGGGAGTTGAATAATAACCCTGGAGGGTTGTTATGTAAACAAAGACAGTCCTGAATGGTCCTGGACGGTTTCGATTCAAACCGGGTCTGCTGTGTACAGTAATTAGTATGACCCTGAGGGACATATTATCTGTAATTCGGAGATTCAAGTAGGTATTTCCGTATGAACTACTGGGTAACCTACAAATTAACTTCTCGGACATCAACCTAGTTTGTTCAGATGATGTTGCTTCATCAGTTGGTGACATCATGAACTATAACTGAGTATAAAGAGGATTTTTTCATGGTTAGATCATACTGTTCTCAGCAATACAGCAAGATGTGATGTCATATTCAGGTATTGTTTCAATTTAACTGCTCTGAGAATCACTCAAATGCACATTTGCAAGTACTAGTAAGTTGTTCTGCTAAATTGATCTTTTAACCATTTTGATGTAATATTAGATTACATAAGCTGATGAGTGATGTGTATGTCTTCAGGCAAACAGATGTGGGGAACATGGATTGGATGTATACGCGAGACAAGACCAATACAGATGACTACCTGCTTGGCAAGAAGATTGATGAACATTTCGAGAGGGGGGATAAGACTCCCCCTAAAGAAGGTTCGTTCAGTCATGGTAACATGAGATCAAAGAAACCGCTTTACCGCATGCGGTCATAATTTATGTAAAGTGATAAAAGGTTTGCTGCCATAACAATGTTTATTAAAGTTGATAGAATATCCCATTGACATCATACAGTCCTCTCACATAAACCACATTACACAATTAAGATCCACACAAGATTTTACTTCACATATATTCAGCTCACTTTGAACATGTTGAACATAGCTGCATGGTGAGACTTAGTGCTATGTTCATATTGTTCAGTTTAACTGTAGGCATGTCAGAGTTACGACCTCTTGACAGCCATCTTTAATTTGAAACAGAGCTTATACGTGTTGTAGATTGTGTGTGTGTGCATGCGTACATGCTATAAGGAAAACTGCACAGTGCCACATTCTTTAATACTGTTGGCTATTGATGAAAACCATTGGCGCCCTATATATACTGTATTAACCCACAGGAATATGTACATAGCTGTAAACACACAAAGTATTTTTAATTGACCCATGTATCCTTCAGCCTCGTATGATACATATTTTTAAGTTCAAAACATGAAAACAATCATATATCTTTTCATAAAATACACATATCAAAATCAAACTTTGCACTGCACCATCTTCTAGTATGGAAACTGTTCCCTAAACTTGAAAAGAATCCATATAGTAGTTTTCAAGTTATAGCTCACACATATGTTTAAATACCAAAATTATAAGTAAAAACAAATGGAAAAAAAGCTGTATTTTTTTATAAGATCCAATTATTGGAAACAAACTTTGCACTGCACTTCTCCCCTTTTGGTATAGAAAGTGTTCAATAATGTTGAAAAGAATCTTTGCAGTAGTTTTCTAGTTATAGGTTGCACACAAAAATGTCCAACCATTTTAGGTAGGGGGTATAATGAAAAAATTCACAATCTACCCATATCACTTTTGGTCAGAGATCATCTCTGATAGATGCAAATAGATATGGAAGATGTTTGGTTGGAAGCTTGACGTTTTCAAGCTGATCAATCCTCTGGGTTGACGTCTTGGTGCAATTTTAGTTAAAATATCAAGTGCATTAAATTGATTAATCCTGATGCAACATCACTGCCCCTAATTTCATTAGACTATAGTGTTATTTTTTAACTTATCATGCATTACTCCTCCTTTATTTTTTATGTTTGTATACTAATCCTGCATTACTTCGTCTAAAGTGGCCCAATCAACCCAAAACTTCCTCCCTACGATGTCTTCAGATGCTCTGTTTTTAGCAGTAATGTGCTGATCAGTGACATCACCACTTCCCATCACAAGGGAGCTGTGTGATAGGGTCAGCCACTCAACCAGTTGGAACAACTTCTTCTTCAGCAAGACCTCACACAGCTCTTCCTCTGTCAAGAACAAGCAGTAAATGCATTAAGGAGTAATGCAGGATAAATATACAAATATAAAAAATATCGAGATTTGACTAGTTTTTCTATCTGTGGTAGTCTGTTAAATATGTGACTACATGTACTGCTGATAACCAGTAAAGTCATGTATAACTTGGGTGGTCATGTGTATCTCAGTTTGTATAAATTATGCAGGAATACACATGCTGAGAACAGGAAGTGATAAGCACGTGGCTGATTATTTATTTCAAGTGCCCTTCAGGCACCTAGCTGTTATGACTATCCAAGCTTTCTATATAGTCAACATTGTTAAATCGTTCACCATTTGGATTTAATTACCAGTTAATTACTAGACAAAGGCCCATCCGGGTCAAACGCCCCCCAAAACTGGGTGACCATGATATGCCAATCCAGGAGGCTCATGGACAGATTGAAAGATAATATATGTATGAATGTGTTGCAGATGATGTGTTTGGAGAACGCATCAAAGCTAACATTGCTTTGGACATGCAGGCCAAAATGAGGGAGGACCCACTGTATGCCATCAAGTGAGTGATCTCAAGAAGCTGAATACAGGTCCTAATTGCAGATATGATGCTTATATAATGGTCCTGAAATGACTAAACATATCCCTGATGAAGTAGAGAGTACATCTGTAAACTATTAGCATGATTAGTATTAATGTTAGTAAATATCTAATTGTTAACTCCACACAGTTTCTTTTTATGACCATGATGACCATGGCACAAGATGACATTTGTTAGCTTTTGATGCACACTTTACTGGATCGAGTCCCCCAGTGACACACATTTATTTGTTAAGATTATCATGATTATTCACATATATGAATTCCAGACATGACTTATAATCACAAGAATTAGAGATCTTTCTTTAAACACTGAACCTTCTCATTGTGAAACAACTGACCGCTCTCCCACTAGGGCTTGGTGTTGGAGAAGCATTTGTGTTTATGTATACTCACACGCAAAAGAAACGCAAGTCGAGTATGCAGTATACAAGTTATTTATTTTCAACAGTAAAGACAAGAAATACTAATAGAGCAAGATTGTCAAAAATTTGACTGAAGACAGTTTAATGGATTAAAAGGAAGATGACATAATTGGGTTTTTTCAAATGTTAAGGGCTTACACAGTTTCGGGTCAATACCCAAAATGTCAGTCAATACCTGGTGTGACCACCATTAGCATTGATCACTGCCACACATCTCCTGTACATTGAGTGGATCAGACGATTTGTGAAGGCCCTAGGGATCCTCCTGCACACATCCGGAGCAGCTGTGCATAGTTCATCGGCAGTTGTAGGGACTGGGCGCACATTGTGAAGACGCCTTTGAACCTCATCCCACAAGTGTTCGATGGGGTTCAGATCAGGGCCGGGGTAGAACACGGATGTTGTGTTGTTGCAGAAAGGCCATGGTAGCTCTGGCAACATGGGGACAAGCATTGTCCTGCTGGAAAATGTGTTGTTGATGTTGTGCAAAAAATGGAACAACGTGGGGTCTGATCACTTGGTCGATATACCGCTGAGCAGTGACGCCGTGTCCCCGACCTTGACCAACATTCAGAAAGCACATGGGTTCAAGTCTCGCATTAAGTCCAATCCCTGCCCATATCATGACGCTAGGTCCACCCCATGGATCCCTTTCCACAATGTTTCTGTCAGCGAAACGATCACCTTGACGCCGCCAAATTCTGACTCTTCCGTCTGCATGGGAGACACAAAAGCAACTTTCATCAGGGAAGGTGACATGCCTCCACTCACGATGACGCCAATTGTGATGACCCTGTGCCCACTGAAGTCGTGCTTGTCAATGCCGTGGTTGGAGAACAGGACGACGTGCTGGTCGGCGACATCTGAGGTTGTTGGAACAAAGACGTCGGATCACAGTGTCCCGGCTAATGTGTAGATTATGTGTTCCTATGGTCTGTTGAGCACTTTCACTTTCAGTTAGGAACGGATGTCGCTGGTGTTGACGGGTAATCTGCCAATCTTGTCGAGGTGTGGTGACCCTAGGGCGACCGCTCCGAGGAAGGTCATCTGTGGTCTGTGTAGCATTGTATCGATGCAGGAGACGGTAAATTGTTGTTATGTTAACGTTGAAATGACGGGCAACATCTTGGACAGACTCTCCAGCTTCCAAATGTCCGATAGCCTGGTTTCTCTGAATTTGAGTTAAGCGTGGCATTGTTGACCAAGGAGTGGTAGGTCCAAGAATCGGCCACAATTTTATACCCACTACAGTTCGTGACAGTTCATGCCTTTTTGATTTCGCGAGAAATGGGTGCATGATACCCACATATTCATTGAAATGGTGCGTTTTGGCGATTCGATTTTATGTTGCGTTTTTACTCGGGGCTTCCAAAATGCATCCTATTGTTCTCCAGTCAGGTTCAATCAGGGATGTTATAATATCTCTGGGATTTTATTTATTATCCCAGGTATTTCATTAATACAACTTCTGTTAATGTTGTAACATTTGAGTGTTTCTCGCAAGAATGTTATTTTGCATTTGAACACAATGTAATGAAATGTAAGTAAAATGACAAACCTTTTTTTTTATATTCCCGTGGATCGAACATGTAACTTTCGTATCTGTAGCCCAGTGAGTGTATATTTTACGCCCTTTTCCTAAGGTTCATAGAAAGTATGTTTGAAACATAAAAATGTTGATAAAGGTTGTTTTAAATTTCTTTTTTAGGTTTTATGTTAGATAGAACAATCACCCTTTTAAATCTCATAAAAGTCAAAGGGTAAATTTTTTATCTACACATAAAAGTCCAGTTTCCACCCTTGACAATGTAGCCAGGAATTTCCTTGCTCAAACGTAGTGCCACAAGTGGCTTTTACGAGTTACAGTCGAACCTCGTTGTTTTGAACTTGTGGGCACCTGGAAAAAAGTTCGAGTTATCTGGGGTTCGAGTCAATCAACAAAGTGAATTTTTGAAAACCAAACATCATGCTATGAGAGATTACCAGGTCAGGACACAACAATAGATTTGAAGGCGAACGTAAAGTTCAGTGCCCAGACTGCTGGTAGTAAAGGGGGAGGCAACTCAGGCGTATCATCAATCTCACTGTCCCCATCTGGATTGACGTCATTGTTTAAGTCATACAATCAATGCCACTGAAACACTCTGTACTTGTGTAATGGATTGTGATTGGCTCTTCACTCATAGCGTCTGTTACTACCATTATCGATCGATATTTTCATGTAAGTAGACTACTTTCACATTTACTGTTACAGTTAAGGCTTGGAAATAATAACAAACGGCAAAAAAATTATGGATATATATTTTTCCACTATGAACCGTAAACAACTCATATCATTGCAATGTGCGAGGCAAGGCGAAGATCATGAGATTGACCAAGCGCACTCTTGTTAATCCCCGACGTCTCCGCCTTGATTCAACAGCTCATTGTCTGTAACGCTCACCAATTATTTGGACCCCATTGGTAGTGTTGTTGCGTGGAACCACTGTATCTCAAAAAATAGATTTGGAAATTTTAGTATCAATTGTATATCTATATACTATCCTTTCTCACACTTTGCATTTCTCCCTGCTTCTTCGAACCTATGTGGGAACGTGCTTGAATCATGTATCCAGCTTCTAAAACTAAAAATAGCCACTGAAGCCCCCCTGCACCTCCATGGTTACGTCCAAAAGCTAGGTCAATTACGTGCCTCTCGTGCATGCAGTGCCTGCTTGAACTGACCACATGTGCGCCTCTACCAATTCATTCTCTATCACAGAACTTATTAGGCTAGAGTAAATGAGATGCGGGAATTGTCGGGTGGGCCTATTGCGTGTGAGATAGGATAAGTATATAAATATACAATTTATACCATCTGCAGTTATAGATCAGTTTTATCTGTTTGTAAACAATGGTGATTTATCCGAAGCCCTAAGTTTGTTTCATTCAATAATACAGTCTTGTGCTGATCACTGTAAGACGGTGGTTTCTACTGGTTATCATCTTGGCAGGGGAGGTAATTGGTGGGATAGGGAATGTGATATGGCTCGTCGTGAGGCTCGTCGATTTCTCCGTGCTTTTCATGCGACTAACAGTAGTATTGATGGACAGCGGTACACGGAGGCGTGGTCGTTATATACACAACTTTGTTCGTCTTAACGGTTTCTTGAGTTTCAAAATTATGTTGACAAACTGAATAGTGCTCTAGAGGAAAGAAATAGCAAGCTATTCTGGAAAACTCTAAAACAAAAGACATACGTGGGATTTAGTCATATTAAGCCCTCCGAGTGGATTGATTATTTTCAGGATCTCTTCAAAGGGGTTCAAACTTCCCAGACTGAAGTTGAGTTCTATGATGTTGTAAAATCTTATGTTGATTCTATTGATAAAAATCTTGTTTTATCAACGGTAGATGATGACTTCCTTGACAAGGAAATATCTATCCAGGAGGTTACTGATGTTATATCTGGTATGCAGTCTGGTAAAGCCCCAGGTTTCAGTGGTATTAGTATCGAGTTTTTCAAGAATGCCCCAGAACAGTGTATATATATGCTACAGTTTCTATTTAATGCAATTTTATATTCAGGCACGTATCCCTCTGACTGGACGTTAGGTGTTATATTACCCTTGCATAAGAAGGGCAGTTCTAGTCTACCAGCTAATTATCGTCCTATAACATTATTGGAAGTTTCTGGGAAGATTCTTGCTAAAGTTATTAGTAATAGGTTGTTTAGATGGGCAGAGTTGGAACAGTTTTTCACTTCGGAACAAGCAGGTTTTAGACGTGGATTCCAAACTACTGATAATATCTTTATTTTACACACAGTTATCAATAAATATCTCTTGTTGTATAAGGGTCGCCTTTACTGTGCCTTCATTGACCTGAAAGCAGCTTTTGATTCTGTAGACAGGACAAGTCTTTTATTCAAACTCTGGTCTGGTAATGTCAAAGGCAGAATGTATAATTTATTAAGAAATATGTATGCAAAAGTAAAGTCATGTGTCTCGCTTGAAAAGGGTTACATTCCATTCTTTGATTGTGCATTCAAGGGTGCCAGTTATCTCCCTTTTTGTTTTCTTTCTTTATCAATGATTTGGTGGAATTTCTAGCCCTAGACGGTCAAAGATGTCTAGACTTTATTGAGTTGTTTATTTTGCTTTTTGCAGACGACATTGTTTTGTTTGACAGTACACCATTGGGATTGCAAAGGGGATTAACAAACTAGATTCCTATTGTCAGAAATGGAAGCTTAAAATAAATACTGATAAAAGTAAAGTTATTGTATTTAGAAAAGCTGGCAGATTGAGGAAGTATGAGAAATTTTATTTGGGTAGAGAAAACCTAGAAATCGTTAACCGTATAAATACTTGGGCGTTCATTTTTTGAGTTCTGGCAGTTGGTATATTACACAGAAAATATTAGCTGAACAGGGATGGAAAGTGTCATCAATTAAGGATTTTTATAGTTTACCACTTAAGGTCTTATTGCATATTTTTGATGTAAAAATTGTACCTATTTTGCTATATGGAGCCGAAGTTTGGGGTTTTCACTCTT